GTCAGCTACATGGGAGTTCAGCGACATAGCCATTAGGCTAACTGCTGGTCCCCAAACTATAAGACTTCTAAAATAAAAGAGCAACTTCCCCCACCCCCGCTCACTATTGGCTAGGCAGATTTTCTAGATAGGACAAAGGCAAAACAAAATAAAACAAACAAGCAAAAAACCCTATAACCTTAAAAAAAAATTGGATCATATCCAAATTGAAAGCTTCTGGGGCCACCAGATGGCATAATGGTTATTTAGTTGAACTCCCACATGACCGACCACAGTTCGAGTCCCAGACCTGCTGGCTTGAAACTCAAGCTGGACACATGTGCATGTATACTCAAGATCCCAGGAGGAATATGGAGGAGAAGAGACTGTGGTGTGGCCATTCCTCCAAGGATGATTTCTTGCTTTCTGTCTGTCTCTCTGGCAAGTACACATGCCCTATAGAAAAAAATCTCTCTTAAACAAAAAAAAAAGAAAGAAAGAAAGAAAGAAAAAGATCAGTCCCATAATGGCAGAAAGTATTTCCAAAATGAATGATCTGATAAGTGAGTTGTCTCAAAATTGTATTTTTGAATTACTCTGGCACCTTTTTAAACTTTAACAACTCAATAAGACAAACAACCCAATTAAAAGTAGGAAAGATATTTGTACACGTACTTCACAAAAGAAGGTACAGACATAGTTAAGCCCATAGAATGAGATCATCTTCATTAGTCATGAAGAACATGCAAATTCGAACCAGAAGGAGATACAAATACACACCCACTCGAATGGCTAAAATTAAAAAGACTGACACTCTCAAGTGCTGTCAAGCATATGAAGGAATTGGAGCTCTCATTCATCGCTAGTGGGAATGCAAATGTGGCATAGTTCCTTCGGAAAGCAGTTTGGCAAGTTCTCACAACATTAAACATACACATGGCACAAGACCCAGAAATTCTACTCCTGGGTATTTTCCCGAAGAGAGGGAAACATATGTTCACACAAAAACTTGAATATAAATGTTCAAAGCATATTTATTTATAACAGGCTCAAACTGGAAAGAACCCAAATGTCCATCAACCAGGGAACGGCTGCTGTACGTTCCATGGTAGTCCAGCAATAAAGAGAGACAAACTACTGGTTTGTGCAACACCATGGGTAAGTCTCGGGATGCATCATGCTAAATGAAAGAAGCCAGACACAAAAGGCAGCAGGTTGTATGGTTCCACTTACAAGACATTCTAGAAAAGGCAAACTTACAGGAAGAGACAACAGATCAGTTGTTCCCAGGGAAGTGAAGTGGAGGGAGAGATTTCACTTCAAAGATGCATGAGCGAAATTTGGGATGAAGGAATGCTCTGTATCTTTATGGTGGTGGTGGTGGTGCTTACACAACTGTAAAACCTTTCAAAGTTCACCCAATTCAATTTGTTAAACACAGCCCACCCCCATAGAAAAGATGAAGCCCATATAAAAGCATCAAATGGTTTTAATTATTTCATTAAAAGTATATACAGCTTAGTGTAACACTGTCTTTTCAGAATGGTATGATGGATTTGCTTAGAACGTGGCTATAAAAGTCAAGCTGGGGGACCAGCAGTTAGCCTAATGGCTATGTTGCTGGACTCCCACGTAGTCAACTGTGGTTTGCGTCCCAGACCAGGTGGCTTAAAACTCATGCCGGGCGTGTGTGTGTGTGCCCAAGATCCCGAGAGGAGAATGGAGGAGAAGGGATTGCGGCCTGGCCATCCCCTCTGGGGGGTGATTTCTCGCTTTCTGTCTCTCTGTCTCTCTCTGTCTGTCTGGTGAGCGCACACGCTCTATAGCAAAATCCTCTCCAAAAAAAAAAAAAGTCAAGCTGCCCTTGGATCAAGTCCTGCCTCTGCCAATGATTAGTAGGGTGACCTTATGACAGTACTTCATTCATACCTCACAAGGCTATGCTGGGGATTTAACAATGCACTTTAACCACATTATAATTGTGTGCTTCATAACACGTACTCAACAAACAGCAATTATTTGAAGAACACTTAGAAATAGCCTAGGTAGACACACATATAAATACATAAATTTATAAATAATTAAGCTACAGTAAGCTGTGACAAAAACAGAACTACAGCAATTGCAAGGCACAATAGGAGCTAATAGCACAAAGCAAGCAATGTTTAGCTCAGTCTGGAGGAGCCAATGAAGACTTTCTGGAGGAAATAATGACTAAGATAAATTTTGGAAGATGAATAAGTGGTTTTCAAGGCTGATTAAGGGAGTGAAGGGCATAAAATGTCATGGCGGACTTGCAGAATAATGAGCAGTATGCTATTTTTTTGAGTGATGAGAGAAACTATTGTGCAGGGGGGAGTCAGACAGAACAGGAAGGATCTTGAATGCCAATTTAAAAATCTTGTTGCATCTCATTACATATATGGTAGAGCTACTGAAGCTGCAAGGAGAGAGACAAATTAGATTTGCATCATAGAACGATTACTTTGATTGTCCCGGAGAAGATGAATTGAAAACAGGACAAGGCTAGAGGGTGAGAGACCTGACAGGCGGCTTGTTAGATGAATCTAGTAAAGAAGGTTGACATTCTGTACTTGGATTATGGGAATGGAATGGAATGGAATGGAATGGAATGGAATGGAATAGAAAGGAAATGGAAAGGAATGGAAATGGAATGGAAGGAATGGAAATGGAACAGAATGGAATGGAATGGTGAAAATAAATTCGAAGACTTTTAGGGGAAGCCAATAATTGCCCATGAAGAAGGAGTCCAGGATGAAAGACAGACTTCACGTTTGACTATGGAGGTGGGAAGTGGTACTGCTTAATAAACAGAAAAATAGGTTTACCCTGGGAAAATGATGAGCGTCGGTAGGAAGGTTGAGGTTCGAGGTGCCTGTGGGTATCTGGGTGAACCATTCAGCAGGTAGGATATATGAGTCTAGGATTCAGTGTGGCAGTCTTCTGGGGAGCTCTCTATGTGAGAGCTGACGTTACAACTAGAAGTAAATTCACCCTGGAAGAGCCAGGGACAGATCCCTAGGGAATATTATCATTTAAGGCTGTGTAGCAAAGACGTCAAACAATGGTCACGAAAGTAGGAAAGCCAGGAAAGGAGTTTCAAGAGTGAGAAATCATCAAGAGCGGTACATGCAGTGGGAATGCCAAGAAAGAGTAAGACCAAGAGCTCTCCAGTGGACAGTTTTGCTTTTTAAAGCATTATTTTATTTAACTTTATTTATTTACATATTTTAATTTTACCAGAGAGGGACAGAGTGAGCGAGAGAGAGAGAGAGGGAGAGAAAGTGAGAGAAAGTGAGAAAGCAAGTCGCCAGGTCTGGGACTCAAACTGTGGTCAGCATGGTGGAGTCCAGCCCTTTTATCCACCACAACACCTGCCGGCCACATTTGGACAGTTTTAGTGCTGGGACAGAACCAGATCTCTATGATCTGAAGAGGGAATGCAGAGTTAAAACATCCAGCCTCTGTGGCACAGTCAGAGACATGCTGGGCTGTGGAGCTGGAAGTCGCATGCTGACTGTGGTACAAGTCCCCAGCCCAACTGTCTTGAAAACATGCTGGGTGTGCATGTGTGTGCCCAGAATCCTGGTGGGCTGGAAGACTGGCACTGTGGCCTGACTGAGCCCTGTGGAGGGGGCTTTCCCCTCTGTCTGTCTTTCTCTCTCATTCATGTGCTTATGCTCTGTCATGATTGTTTTTTAATGTGCATCATTTGGCCCAGTTGTGGTGGCACAGAGAGTTGGGGAGCAGTGTACATGTGGGAAAGCCCTCAGTTCTCATCCTGGGTGGGCATGGACATCCAGGTATACCTGCAGCTCTTCCATGATCCTGGCTGCCTGGAAGGCTGGGAGGAGGAACAGTGTGGCAAGACCCTGCTGGAACTCTCTCTCTTTCTCTAGAGAAATAAATGACCATATTTACACATGTGAAAGTATCTGATTGCAAGCTACTTTTTTGAAAAGTCATGAGCAAGAAGAGAAAGAACAATAGAAAGATAGCTGGAAGGAGACACACGGTCAAAGGAAGTTTATTTTAATTTTTTATATGAAGCATGGGAACTACTTTACTGTGTTTATATACTGATAGGGGAAAAGCTGGAAGAGGGGAGAGGTTGAAGACACAGGTGCATATTACCCAAGGTCTAATCAGGAGGCAGAAATCACACCAGATATTTGAGTATAGAAAATATAATACAAAAAAATTGTTAAAGAAATTGTTATATATAAAGCTGTCAGGTCAAAGGTGAAAAGAGAACATAAAGGTACATGAGAGTAACAATTTTAAGAAGCCCCTAACACTCTAAGGGCCGAAGGTGTGAGCGGATTAGAAGGTGGAATTCAAAGGATAAGGAAAGAGGAAAAGACTTTTTGCTAAAGGCAATCAAAGAGTATTTTATGACCATGGCATAGAATAGGGATAGGGCAGACAGCCTTGCATATCAGGCTCCTGTATTTAAAGTTTATCTTGGGAAACCACTGGCATGTGAATAGGAACATGACAGGACTAGAACAATGATTTCTAGAGATTGATCCATCGTGATGTGTAAAGAGAACTGGAAGGAGCGAGAAACCGAAGTTATCAACTGGACGGCCAAAAATGATGGCATGCGTTAGTTAACAGTAAGGCTGGAAGGGAAAAAATGCAGGTGACCCATGGATGACTCACTTGCTGGCTGTAGCGGGGCGGCGGAGGAGGAAAAGGAATGACATGTAGGTGATTGGAGTAATGGCAGAGCGCGGAAAGACAGGAGGAAGGGGAGGAGGTTTTGAAGGATCACGAAACGTTCGACTGGGGATTGCACATCCGATGCTGGAAAGTCAGCCCTACAGGTTCTCCGGCGGGCGGAGTCCGAGCAGGACAAGGTGGCGGGTATCCCACGCACAGAGACCTCTAGTTTGAGAGAACGCAGCAGCCTCTCACAGTGTTTGATCCCGCCAGCCGCCGAGGCTGTCCTGCCTCCTGATTCATAGTTTCCACCTGGCTGGCCTCAACAACTAAAAAGAGGAGGAGTGTCCACAGGACTCAGGGAACCAAGGACGCCCTCGACTCCGGGGCTAACCGCTGTCGCCCCTGGCAGGACTCCGTGTGCCTCCACCAGCGCAGCGCCAGCTCCCAGAGTGGAGGCGCGCATGCGCGGCGCGGCGCGGGGTCGCCTAGCAACCAGGGACAACGGTGGACCCCGGAGGCGCACCGGCAGCCCCGAGTGTCATTTGCTAGGTCTGAGAAGCCCTGCTCCACCCGAGCTCCCGACAGGTAAAGCAGGCCGGCGGCTGCCCGCCCCGGCTCCGCGGGGTGGAGAGCGGGAGCACGGACTCCAGCAAAAGTGGACCCCGGAGGCGCACCGGCAGCCCCGAGTGTCGTTTGCTAGGTCTGAGAAGCCCTGCTCCACCCGAGCTCCCGACAGGTAAAGCAGGCCGGCGGCTGCACGCCCGACTCCGCGGGGTGGAGAGCGGGAGCACGGACCCCAGCAAAACCTGGGGAAGGAGAAGGTCCCGGGCAGGTGCGCCTTTTGGGGCCACTGAGGGAACACCTCGTCGGGGGTTGTTGGTTCCTGGCACCCGCGGTGTTAGCCCAGGGGTGGAGTGGGACTGATAAGCACTCCTCCCACCTCCCATTCAACAGGGTGCGACACTGAGGCCAAGGGGCCATCTGATGAGGGTCTAAGGTCCCGTTAATGAGCAATGCAAAGGTGGGCCATGACTTGTTTTAACCCTCCTCCTCCGCTTTAAGTCTGCCTAGAACGAATCTCCCCATTACAATATATTTAAATTTGTAGACAAAGTGCACGAAGAGAAAATACAAATGACCGACAGATACACTCCTGAGAAAACTATGGCGCCACTAGTCAAGAAGATGCAAGTTTAAAGCAAACTTTCATAGTCAGTGCCCAGGGAGATTCGTCCTAAAGAAACAGTTGGGGCCTGGATGAAAATTTTATGTCCAAAGATGTTCATTGCAGCCTTCTTTATAATTCTAGAAAATTGGAAACAAATACCCAATAATGAGACTGACTCGATCAGTAATGGGTTTTAAGATATTTTAAATGACGTGGATCCATCAGCAATCATTGGAGCAATAAATAAAGACTGAGTGTTCATCAACTTGCCTGCTCATTTATGAATTTAGTAGGAAAATGGTCCCAAGAAGGAAAAGTGAGAGTAAGAGATAGAAATCAGGTAGGATGGTAAAATCACCAGGGAAAACACAAAAACAGGAACTCATTTATTGAAATAGTATTGATCTCTCTGAGCTTATCTTTGGGTGATTTTTGTCTTATTCATCATGCCTTGTTTTCCAAATGATCTACAATGAAATGTATTATTTTTGTAAGGAAGCAAGTTAGGTCATCTGAGGCTCCTTGCCCCTGGCCTTGTGGCTGTTTACTCTCTCTCCCATTGGCTATTATATCAGGCATGATGGGAAGTTTCTAACCTCATAGTATTATCTGGGGCCAGCTTTGTCACTCCAGGACATAGGTTTAGACTGTTCCTGCCTCCACACTCTTCAGTATGCAATTGCTGAGGAACACTATCCTACATACGAAAAATTAGCTCCTGAATGAAAATCAGATGATTTAAGACAATCTTATGCAAGTGTAATTGAATTGCTTCTTGAATATTATTCATAAGGGATTCTTTTCTAAATCAAAAGCTGTGATATCTTAAAATTGGTGATGAAGAATGAGGCCATTTTTCCTAGAGATCAATTATAAGGTAGATTCTCATTTATCCAGAGTGGTTTCTGTGTGTCTATGTGAGGCATGACAGGTCCAAGGGTTAGGGCCTGTACACTTTTCAAGCACCTGTGAAAGATAACTAAGACTTGAAAAAAAAAGCATTGGCTCTAAAATATGAAAAAAAACCCCTTGAATGTTAATGGAATGTGTTTATTAATATTAAAATTTTATTACATTCAAAGTGATTTTCTCAACAAGATTTTCCAGGTGTACATATTGATTGCTGAGTTATTTCAAATGCAAATTTTGAACTTTTTTATGATGAAAATTACATCTAATGGGCAATAAGGACACATTTTAAGATTTTAATTTATTGGATACAGTGTGAGGTAGTACATCACAGTAAACTTGCCCACCCCCTCAAAGATCTTAAAATTTATGTGGCCTGAAGTGAGTGATCTGGAGGAGTCGTCTTTCAACAGTCCCTATGCGTTTTCAAGAACAGGGCTCTATAATGAATGCAGTAAATCCCGGTCAGGGTCTCTAAGGCTAGGAGCTGCTTTTTATACTTGACAAGCAATTTCAACTAACCCTGGCATTGTAATTGATCTCTAAGGATTTTCTGTTTCCCTGGGTCTTTCTTGAGACTATGGTAACTTCCTTGAGACTGGAATATACTATCTGAGATTGCTCTAATGCCAAGCGTAATCCAGCATAATCTCACAGACACTCAATGGAGAGAACTAGAACGATTTCTTGAGTTGGGCTAACAGGTACCCACATCTTGGAAAGTTCTCTGTACCCAGGTTGAGTGTCTTCTCTGTAATAATGTCAACTATGTATATAAACTATTTGACGTTTTTCCCTGACATGAGCCTAGTGCAGGTGGGAAAAGGAGTGACTCCTATGTCCCCAGAACACATTTCTTCAGATTCTTTTTCTTTTTTTTAATTTTGCTTGAGTGCATGTGTGCTCACCAGAGAGAGAGAGAGAGAGAAAGTGAGAAAACACCCCTGGAGGAATGGCCATCCCTCGATTTGTTCTTCTCCATTCTCCTTTTGGGATTTTGGGCACGCAAACACATGTGCCTGGAGTAATTTTCAAGTGACTTGTTGGGACTCAGACCACTTAGCCCTGTAGGACCCAGCTGCCTTAACCTCAATGTCACCTACTGGCCCCTTTGCTTCAGATTCTTAGTTGCTTTTTTGTGTGTGCCTATGGATTATATTAGAGAAAACTTTTTGTTATTGGTAAAAATCACATAAATGCAGATTCAGATTTGTAGCTCTTGTATACCATTCACAAAATTACTGCTCTCAGGAAAAATGGAATTAATCATTTTTTTAAAATTGAAAATCTTCTTTGTACCAGGTGCTGTCGTAGGTGCTTGGGATAGATCAATGTGAGAAAGACAAAATTTCTACATTTGTGGGAACCAGCAGTTAGCGTAATGGCTATGTCACTGGATTCCCAGGTAGTCAACCACGGTTCGCGTCCCGGACCCTGTGGCTTAGAACTCACGCTGGGTGCGTGTGCATGCGTGCCCAAGATCCCAAGAGGAGAATGGAGGAGAAGGGATTGCGGTGTGACCATCCCCCCTGGGGGGTGAGTTCTCGCTTTCTGTCTCTATGTCTCTTTCTGTCTGTCTGGCGAGTAACATGCCGTAAGAGGGAAAAAAAAAAAAAAAAAAAAAACCCTCTCAAAAAAGAAAAAAAAGAAAGAAAAAAAATTTCTACATTTGTTGCGCAAATATTTTTGCAGTTCTCAAAAGGGAGTTAAAGGGTCAGCATGTGGTGTGCTCGTGGTGCTGGACTTCCACATGCTCTTCTGCAAACTGAGTCCTGGGCCTGGCAACTTGAAACTCATGCCAGGCACATGTGCATGTGTGCCTAAAATCCCAAGAGGAGAATGAAGGAGAAGAGATAGAGGCGTGGCCATTGCCCTGGGGAGTGATTTCTCAAATTTTCTCTCTCTCTTTCTGTTTCTCTCTGTCTCTCCAGCGAGCACACTCTCTACAGCAAAAAACTCTCAAATAAATAAATAAATAAATAAATAAATACATAAATATAAAGAAAAAGAAAAAAGAAAAGAGACTTAGTCACTCAAGGCCAACCAAATGAGCTGTAAATGGAGGCCGAGATTTTATTAACTTGTCTGTTAATTCTGTTAATTTAAAAGTTTAGTAGGAGGAGCTGGCAGGTGGTGTGGGTAAGGAGCGCTGGATTCCCACATGGCTGATTGCGGTTCGAGACCTGGACCTAGGAGCTTTCTTTTTCCCTTTCCCTCTCTCTCTGGTCAAATGAAAACAAATAAATAAAGTTAAATAAAATAATAATTTTTTTTTGTGCGCTTGCCAGCCAGACAGAGAGAGACAGAGAGACAGAAAGCAGGAAATCACCCCCCAGGGGGGATGGCCATGCCGCAATCCCTTCTCTTCCACTCTCCTCTCGGGATCTTGGGCACACACGCACACGCACCCAGCGTGAGTTCTAAGCCACCGGGTCTGGGACTTAAACCACGGTCGACCACGTGGGAGTCTAGCGACATAGCCATTACGCTAACTGCTGGTCCCAATAAAATAATTATTTTTTAAAAAAGAAGTTAGTAGAAGAATGGATCCATGAAGAGAAGATGAGATTAAGGGATAGAAATCCAAGTAGGCTGAATCCAGATTCACCCACTGTAAGCATGGCAAACAATTTCCAGACATGTAAGTAAATATTAAGTCACTAGTATATTTATCTCCATTCCAAACTGCAAGCTAGGGCTAATGCTCAACCATCTCATCAATAAGTTCCTTTAAAATCAGAAAGTTTGAAATATGGATGTAGGTAATATATTTCTATGTTAATTTCTGCTTGTATCACACTGCCTTTTTCTAGGGAAAATTTTAAAGGAGAAACTAAACCTCTTCCAAAGTACATAGAAAACTGAGATTTGTACATATTTAACACACAATTGATGCTTTAACTATTTATTGGTTCTTTTTCCAGGATGGGTAAAAAGATAAAGAAGGAAGTAGAACCCCCTCCAAAGGATGTGGTGAGTTTCAGATTTAAATACTAGTAGCACTTTAACAGCCAGTTTTAAAAATAAATTGTTCAGACAGTTTGGCATGTACCAGTATGTACATTCGTACATGGTGGCAGAAGTCCAAAGTCTGACTAATGATAAGATTAGTCGGAGAAATCTAACATTATATAAACAAACATTTACAACATTGTCATTATATAATTAGCACAATTACAGAGTAATGATTAGCTCTCCCAGAATGTGGATGGTGTGTTTACAGCCTAGTTAATGAATAAATAGTTTTCAGTTGTTCTTTTAAATATTTTTTATTTACATTTGCCTGTCTCGCATGAATGTTAATTATCCAAGTGAATTTTCAAAAATAACCAGGAGTTATACTACACCTATCAGCTATGTATATAAGGTTGTCTGGGATGACCATTTAGATGTAAAAAGTCTTGTATTTTCTAGTTCTATTGAGAGTAGTCTGCAATAATCCTTTTCAATTCCAAAAGCTTAGTAATGCATTCTGCACTATAGAAAGCCCTCCTTCTCCCTTTTAAAAGATGGTGAAGGCCCAGAAGATGGTGTAATGGCTACCTCTGGACTCCCATGTGGTCGACTGTGGTTCGAGTCCTGGACCTAGCGGATTGAAACTCGTGCTGGGTGCATGTGGTGTGTGTGCCCAAGATCCCTAGAGGAGAATGAAGGAGAAGGGATTACAGCATGCCATCCCCCATGGGTGTTGATTTCTAGCTTTTTGTCTCTCTATTTCTCTCTCACCTTCCAGCAAGTTTGTGCACCCTATAGCAAAAGTGTCTCTCTTAAAAAAAAAAAATGGTGAAATGTGTTTTTGTCTTCTTTCTATAAAATTTATCAATTACTGAAAGACTTAGGAGTAGAAAATGACCTGTGACCATTTCCAGTTTAGCAATTTATTTTGAAGAGATGTTGATGTTATTTTCTTCAGATAAACTGTCAGTAGAAAAGCAAAGAGTGCAGTCCACAGACTTGCAGCCTTTTAGAGTTCGGACGAGCTTG